AGTTGTCTGTCCGATACCGGGATGGGTCGGGTGGGACGAGCTGCTGCCTTGGCAAGTCGTGTCTTCTCATAGTTGGCGAAGATAAGGGGTGCAGAAGTCTGCAAGTCTGCACTAGAGATCCACCGAGTATCRTCAGGYGYACATTGCTTGAATGTGACTTTGTACTGCATTGGCTTGTTGCCATACTTGCGGTGCGTGATGACTCGGTCMACTTCCTGATGTCCGTCCATGGAGGGCGGATCCTGTGATCGACGTCCGCGAAACTCGTCATCTGAAGGTGGCGTGTAGATGGCCAGCTTTGATGCGTGGAAGACCCGATGCACTGTAAGGTGCGGAGGGATGTTGATCACGAAGGAAGGACCTGCGGGGTCGTCTCCAACGGCAGAAGTGACTTCCCATGGTCTGAACCATTTCGGAAGGAGTTTGCGCGAAACATCCTGCTCGAGCGCAAATTCCTCCGAGAGGACCCAAACAAGGTCTCCCTCGCGGAAAGGACATGGAAGTCGACGTCGGTTAGCCTGCTGCTGCATGCGGATCTGAGCCTTTTGCATATTTGCGCGGGCTTTGATCAGCAATTCCCGGTACTTCCGAACGGAAGCGGGAGAGCAAGGGACGTCTATGTCGGCAGCCTGTGGTAAAAGGAGATCGGCGAAAATCCGYGCTTTCTCTCCACCATGATGTAGCTCGAATGGTGTGACGCAGATCGCCGGATGCACCGAAGTGTTATAGGCGAACTCGATGTCGGGAAGCCGGTCAACCCAATCTTTCTGGTCGGGACGAATGAGCGTACGCAACATCATCTGAGCGGTTTGGTGTGCTCGCTCCGTCTGGCCATCCGTCTGCGGGTGCCGAGCCGAGCTTGGTTTCATAGGCGTACCGGACTCAGCCATGAGGGAAGTCCAAAAGGTTGACATGAAGCGAGTATCTCGGTCGCTCACTATGTCTTCCGGAACACCCTGGTTGGTAATCCAACCGGTGTGCAAGAGTCGTGCGAGCTCAGGTGCTGCAACATGATACTTGCAAGGAAGGAAGCGAGCATACTTGCTCAAACGGTCAACGACCGTGAGAATACCGTCATGGCCGTGGCGATCGCGGGGGAACGGGCCTGTCACGTCCATAGCAATGGAGAGGCGCGGTGCCCGCGGAATCGGCAATGGTTTCAGTTCACCGAAGGCGACTCGAGATCGACCCTTGTTGCGGTGGCAAACTGCACATGACTCAATGTACCTCGTGACGTCATGAACGACGTCGGGCCAGTGAAAACGCAAGCGGAGGCATGCTAGTGTGCGGTTCACGCCAAGGTGTGCCGAAAGTCGTGGAATTCGCCGAGAAGACGAGTCCGTAAGATACGATCTTGGGGCACAACTAACAAGTCCTTTCCTCTTGTGTGAAGGAGAAGTAACCTGTCGGATATCCGACAGTGGCTAGCCGGCGGGTGATCCGATGAAAGCTCCGCATAAAGCATGGCATAACTCGGATCGGACTTGTAGCCTTTGACGAAATGCGGCTGCAAATCGTCCTCGAGGTCGAATGTCGTGGTCACAATGGCACAAAAGTAGGGCCGTCGTGATAGGGTCGACGCATCGGTCGATTGACTTTTGCGTGCGGCCGTCCGCGAGTGTAACTTGCGTGGGTTGCGTCTTCCTTCGAACGCGCGGGCCAAGACCTGCGCGGGCCATAAAGGCTTGGCTCATAAAGTTGCGAGACGCTCCGCAATCAATCAAGGCACTACAGGTTGCCTTTCCGATTTGAATGCGGATATAGAGCAAAGGAGCGTCGGTTTCGGCGTACCTTTGGGTGGTGTACTCGTGGTCAATCTTCGCAAGATAGGAGCGGAGATCGACAACCGCCACCCCGTCGTCCGTCAACGGAGCTGGTACTGTAGTGTGCAAATAGGAGCGTAGAGTTGCCATCAAGGCGTTGCAATGCGGCCTTGGCAAGGTTCCGGTCGAGGGTAAAGGCATCCAAGCGAAGTCCTCTCTCGTGAGCGGGTCAAGCTCCTCGAGTCTTGACCACGCTCTCGAGTCCTCGAAAATCAGTGGCGAACTGACCGGATCACTTGCCGACGGTGTACAGGCTGCGCATACGCTAGCTAAATGCACGTGGCTTGGCTGGTCTAATGGTGGTACCAGCTGGGCGGCATAATCCTCGTACGTAGCACGAGAATCAGCGACTAACGCATGCTCCCCRGTAGTGACATCGATTGCTAGCAAGGCAACCGGGTCCGGCGGAGTGAGGAGAGACGGCGCCCCTCTCCTTGCGTAACTCAGTTTCCCGAGTTTGCTGGACGG